TTATCATTATTATTATGTTATTATCATTATCATTATTATTATTATTATCATTATTATCATTATTATTTTTATCATTATTATTATCATTATCATCATTAATATTATCGTCATTATCAATATTTTTGCTATTGCTTGACTTTTGCTCTCCAAGGGTTCAAACCGGAAATATTCCTTGAGTTCCAAGACAGGCACTCTACTGCCTGAGTTCCCTGACGCTTACAACCTCATCTTGTCTGACGCGGAGATCGCTGATAAGGTAACAGCCAGTTTATAAAGAATCAGGATAAAGATAATAATAATGTTTCTTCTTTCCTATCAAACATCTATCGTCCTTATCTCCCATTCTTCTTTGTTATGTTTGTTACACTCTTGTAACACCTCTATTCTTCTGGCGCTCATATGACCTTATGCAGTTCGCGACCCCGGTGTTTCTTGTCCTATCTCATTTTTTATTTTTATTTTTTTACATTGAAAATGTGGCTTCTTTTTAAACTCACTCTTTGTTGTGAACTGTATTCACTGTTATTAAAAATGGAGATAAGACAAGAAATCACTGAGGCTGCAAGTTGCGAGCGCCGTAAAAGCTCAACTAAAAAAAAAAGTGTTGGCTTCCTTTCCCCAGATGCACACCTTCATCATGATGTACCGCACACACTCTCAGAGAATCCTGGACACAGTCATCACCGCCAACTTTGAGGAGGTAAACTGTTTGTGTGAACCGTACATAAGTGCTGCTTTTAACCCTATCCGTTCGCACTGGGGTCATTTTGTACCCCAGGGGTTGTATTCTTCACATTTTAGAATACTTCTATTAGGAAGATCTCTTTGAGACTTTCAGTATTTCTCAAAAAAATCATTTTGATAGACTGCTATGCACAGCGTACGGATCGGATGAACGAGTAAATTTCCTCTTTGGAAAGTGGTGGCACAGAGTTCCCCACGTCGTATGGATACGATAGTAAAACACGACGTACGGATAGGGTTAAGGACAAGCGGGCTAACCCAGATTTCGGGGGTTTCCAGAAATCTTGACCTGCACCAAAAGTGGGCATTGCCCTACCTATAGGAGAAGTTTGATTTCATTGGTGTGTATATTTGTTTGGTTATAGAGAAAACTCTCCTTGTCTTTTAAAGAAACTGAATAAGGGTCAAAAACTTTTTACTTCGATTCTCTCAAAACAGCATTTTTCCTGGATAGGCCTCTTTTGTTTAAAAGCGACCATATTATGATTGTTGCTGTAAACATCGTGAAGTGGTATAGTTTTTACAGCCTTATCAACACTATTATGTTATTTTAGAGTCGGGTCTTCCAAATTTAACGTCCTTCTCGGAAAGAACCGAAAAGAAAACAGTATAGGATTGACGCCACTATCAACACTGTTTGGCTATTCCAAGATACGAGACCTCCGAGTTTAGCGTCAACCTCTGAAAGGACCTACCAAATGAGACATTCGCTTCAAAAGGATCTTTTCCAAGGTCACAACGTCGGACCGAGTTGAGGCTCGAACCCCCGGACCTGCAATTCACGATGCAGGTCTGGTAGCCTAATATAATAATAATTTATATGTTGTGCTGTTCCCAGACGACCAATATCTTTTTTATCATTACCAACAAAGCCTCCAAAATCACACTGCTGAACTCAACAACAGCTGTAAGAAATTCAATATAAAAATAAGCACATCAAAAACAGAAGTTATGAAAGTGAGGGGAAACCATAGTCCCCTGAACATCCTTGTCAATAGCAAACAACTGAAACAGGTGAAGGAGTTTAGATATCTTGGCAGCACTTTTTCTGAAAACGGGTCCATAGACAGAGAAATAGAAATGCGAACTCAGAAAGCCAACGCTGTCACCTACCAGCTCGCACCCCTTCTATCTCATCCAAACATCTCCATGGACACAAAGAGACAGCTCATCACCTCAATATTCATACCAACATTATATTATCAGTGCCAGACCTGAACTTGAAGCAAAATCTATGAAGCAAAATCACTGCATGCGAAATGAAATGTCTCCGAAAACCCTTAACATCACAAGACGAGACAGGCAGAGAAATGAAGAAGTAAGAGCAGCTATCGGCACTGAGTCCTGCCTGCATTACATAGACAGAGGATGAATAAATGGTTTGGCCACCTGTTACGCATGTCACCTGACCAGCCAGCCTCGAGAGCCTACAACACCAAGCACTCAGGCTATAAAGGAAGAGGAAGGCCACGCACAAGGTGGATCGAGGGTGTCAAGGAAACCCTAAGAAAAACATAACATCACAACTGAAAGAGCTGCAGAGCTGGCCTACCATAGAAAACTGCATCTCCCCTCGACGCTTAACGGCAACAGAGGACGAAAAAGTAAAAGTAAAAGTATGCTGTTTCGTGGAGTGAGAAAATGGATTTTGTGCCACAAAACGACGGAATCAAGCACTGGTCAAATTTTGGGCGTGTAGAGTTATACGTATAATCTTAAAGCTTGCCTTGCTTTTGATAAAGAAATACCCATCTACTCGTATTTCGTGAAGAAGTAGAGATGTTTACGACTGAAAGAGGTCACAGACAGAGAGCGAGGCAGGGAGAGAGAAAGAGAGCTATAGAGAGAGAGGGCGATAGAGAGAGAGAGAGAGAGAGAGAGAGAGAGAGAGAGAGAGAGCGAGAGAGAGA